ACTCACAAGAGAAATAAATGTAGGCCATACAAATTCTCCCGGCCCGGAAATCGAACGAGGAATCTCGGCGTGGCATAGTAATCATTCGGCCACGGAGACGTTTTTTTTAAAAAAAAAAATTGTTATGTAAGCTGCCATGATCAGTAAAAATGTCGAATCTGTCAATATTTGTATTTCTTCCTAGGTGGCTAAAGTGTGAAGTTAGAAGGTATAAAGTTACCGCAAGGGAGAAGGAGATGTTTTTAATGCCATTTCTTTAAACATTATTTCCTCGGTTTTGAGTTTTTGTAACAAGCGCCCTTTCAATTAACGGTGGGCAGATGTGGCGACTCCGAATCAACTTCCTCTACAACTGTCAAATTTTATTATCGGTTTGTCCCTGGACAAAACGATCCAAAATATTTCGCAAATACCTGGTCACCGCATCCCTTAATAAAAGTGGCAATAAATTAGCAACAACGCCATCTATCGGCTGTGGCTCATAAAACATTCATGAGCATCCCATAGGTGGCGTTAGTAGTCATTTAATTCGGTACTTTGCCCTCGTTTAATGAATTAATGAATTTTTAGTTCCACTAAAGTTGTTTCGTGTTAAAATTTTGGGATAACACTACGTTGTGGTTTTAAGATACAGTTAAATATTATTTTCGATATTACTCGGTTAACCCATCATACTTAAGTCGATAAGCTCTACCTGCAACTTCAGTGTCATTTCGTACCAAAAAAATTATCATTTGCAAGAGTATTAAAGAAAAAACATCGTAGGAAATCTATATATATAAGTAAAACTCTTCGCAATAGCTTTCATTAAAACTCCATTGAGTGTGATTAATTTACACCTCAGGATCGTGTGATATCTTTTTTTTTCACAGAAATGGCGAATTTTGCTGGTCACACTATTTACCCACACGATTTAGTTTTTAGTATAAATTAAAATACATTTTGAATTTCTTCAATCTTTGTTACCTTTTTAAGCAGATGGCTTTCTAACAAGGCTCTATGGCATTACATAAAACATTTAATCAAAGTTGTTAATATTATTGTCCTCTCTGTATATTGCGATTATTTTGATTTGGCGTCAAGAATTATTCTAATTCTAAGTTGTTTAAACTGTATGGTCACGTAGTTAAACTAAGATGCTTTAAACAGCGTTCAAAAAAGTTACTTAGCTTAAATAATTTATTTACGAGATTTATTTATGAGTCATAAAACAATTACACATGTTTATTTTATTATTAATTCGATTATAGTGCCTACATTTTTGTGTATGATTGTATGTACAAAAATCTGTGCCTTAAACAAATGTGTATATAAAAATACTTTACTGCGTTCATGAATAAAACAACTCTAGGAAAGGCGGGAGAAGCAATCCAAGATGGCCGATTTGCGCGCGCTTTCGCAAAGATTTTTGGCGCCATTACAATTTCATTCTATTTACTTGTTTTTGCAACTCTTACTGTTACGAGATAAGGTTGGAATTGTAATGGTTTGTTCGGAGGGTGACTAAACCACAAGTCAAAGTTGCAAATCTGGGAATACTAGGCAAATTAAATTTTCAAGTATATTCTTATAGAGTTGCTAAAAAGTAACAGTACAGCCACTTATAAATAAGTAAGAAATCTATTTGAACGTTGTCCGAACTCGAACGTTGACGTAAAAAGTCATTAATATCGACACTATTTCAAGATTCCTTATTAGATCGTACAAAGAATGTGTAAAACGATCGTTTTGACATCAGAGAAAATTGTAGAGTCAATGTCAGTTATGGATTTTAATCCATAACTGACATTGACTCTTATTAGTATTATCTGCCTGCCTCCGTGGCCGAACGGTTACCATGCCGGACTGCCACGCAGAGGTCCCAGGTTCGATTCCCGGGCCGGGAGAAATATTTGTATTGCCTACATTTATATCTCTCGTGAGTTTGGGTGTAATTTGTGGTTGTCTATGTGTGTGTCCATGGCACCCGCGACACAGGGTTTCCCTAGTGCGGGGCTATGTTGAGTGTGAGCGTTATTATCTCCATCCTCTTAGATTAAATACAAGAACTTCATTTGCATTTGTGTTAGGCAAGAATAAAGAAGAATATTGATAAAAAAAGACAACATCAATCAAACGGAGAGATGATGTCAATGAAATAAATGAGAGTCTGATGGTTTTTCAACAGGCAAAAGGTGGCGTAATCGACGTGGCATATATTTTCCAGATGTTAAAAAAACCCTAAAACATTGTACAAATCAACCTTTGAGTATATTAATAAGAATAGAATAAGAATTTCTAACATTTTTTACACTTTAACTTGAAAGTTAACAACTAGTAAGTAGAACTAGTGTTTATGCGCCATCTGATGAGAGAAATAATCAACGTGCCTCTCCTTTCAACGTAATGTGAATAGGATGCACATACCTACGTGGATAGAAATGAAATGTTTAACAAAGAATCTGCAGCTTGATTTTGCTTGCCTCTCCCGATCGGAAACTGCGTCTCTTCCGAGTCGAGGCGCGTAATTGCGATTCACAACTGACCGATCGGAAACTTTTGACATTTCAAATCGGAACAATAGTTGATTTAACTCACAGATTAGAAAGATATAGTATGAATCAGGTTCATCTTCTCGCTCGGAAATCCATCTGATTTCGAGACTACCCGATCATTTCGATTCCAATTTGAATCAAAATCAGCATATTGGTGAAAAATACTTCATTAAAATGCAGTTGCAGCAATTGGGGGTGCGGTGGTGACAGTGGCGCGACCACAGAACAAATTTTTTTCTTCCGTGGGCGCGACAGCACGGCGTACAGCATCACAGTATTATTAACATACCACATTCAATATTAGTATATTTTCCCTTGTTTTCATGGAAAAGGTAACAAGCGCCTGTTCTTAAATAATTTCATGTGTCATGGAAAATAAATTTAATGTTTAGCAAACTGACTGTTTTTCAACACTGAAATGCGTTTCGTTATTCGTATTCTTCATCGATTGTATTTTGATAGGTAACCTATCACAAAGTCGAACATTTTTTTGTCCGAAATAACGTTTTTTCGAATTTTCATTACACCGAAAACGGAATTATAACGAAACAGTTGTTCTTTCAGGATATGTTGAATGTTTATCGCAAAGACACGATTAGGTTCGGTTAGGTTAGGTTAAGTTGGGTTTAAAAGAAAAAACGTTTTCCTCTACAAGTTACTTTCGAGGTTATGAAATTTGGACCAAACGTCATTTCTGGAAAATGTAATTTCAGACTGTTGATGTTGAATACTATCAATAAAATCGGAAAATGTACTTAGAAAGACAAAGAAAAATAATTTATTTGGTAACCTTATGACAGAATAATAACAAAAAATAAAATAGCCTTAGGATAAAAAACAAAATAAAAGAATTACATCTCAATATCACAATAATTACTTACTTACTTTTAGAGATTTCAAAATCTTTCGAAATATCTTTTCTATTAATGAATAAGATTTTTTGGACAATACAGATTAAGTCACAATTTTTGTAAACTGAGCATCATAGAGAATTCTTCCACAGTGCTCTTTGTGTAGGATCATATTGTTGATAGTCATATGGAAGATATTACTTACTAGATTATGTTTTTGAGTAAAGAACTAAGCACAAAATCTTTCATTTGATATCAAAAATTGTTATTGTATTTGATATCAAATAGAACTTTATTATGGCACCGGTCTAGTGGCTGACGTCACGAATGTCATTTTTTAAATACATTTTGTCGCTTTACCAAAAATTATTAGATTTCTTAGGTGCAATAAAATTAAACTGCCTCCGTGGCCGAACGGTTACCATACCGGACTGCCACGCAGAGGTCCCCGGGTTCGATTCCCGGGCCGGAAGAAATATTTGTATGGCCTACATTTATTTCTCTCGTGAGTTTGGGTGTAATTTGTGGTTGTCTATGTGTGTGTCCATGGCATCCGCGACACAGGGTTTCCCTAGTGCGGGGCTATGTTGAGTGTGTACGTTATTATTATTATTAATACTTTTTTTTCTATTCTCAAATTTCACATTAAACAATACAGGCGGAATATTATCAACTCTATACAAATTCCAGTTCAACTGGAAAGAAATCGTATGTAAGTGCTTTCAGTGCGTCGTTTACATAAAAAGGCAATTACGCCAACGTATATTGGCAGTTACAAGTCCCTTTGAACATTAGCTCGGTTATACTTACAATTACTTATATAAGTGTATAGACTTTATTAGAAAATTATACTTAACATTGCTAATTTTGGCGCTCGATTTTGACAGTTTTCGTACTAGCTATTATTATTATTAATAATGTCAATGACTCGTCGTTATACGGTGAACGAAATCCACTGTGAGGATTATAAAAATTCAATAAAGCCTGAGAACTTTGCCTTCCTTGTACTACCTACTTTCGTCTTAAAACTATCACAAAAATAAGGACCCTAACTTACTATTATTTTTATCTTGGATGGATGACATAAACATTTCCCCAAAAGAGCGTTTTATGACAAATCTCTTACGTTTAATAGCACCACTTTATAGTGATTGCTTTTAGATGGCCGAGGGCGTTATTATTACGGCCCTTTGGTCGTAAAAATATGATTTTAATGAGTTGCTAATAAAAAAATTACCATCTTCCTTTACAAAGTCAATTGTGCTGCCATCTAGTTATTTGCGAGAGTTTTTGAAGTGAGCGCCCTCTACGTAGGTGAAATTTAACTACGTGTCGAAACTACAGGTGAGAAACTATTAGTTCATGATGGAGTACTAATAAACACCAATAGATGTCGTCTCAACGAACGATAATGTATTAACGATATTAACCAGCCAAATTATGTCGATGATAATTTTATAATCTCATCGAAGCGTCAACGATGACTTTTCTATTTATCCGTTGTACGAAAGTACAATTTTTGCGCGCATCGAGAAATGACGTTAGTGGTGTGAATAGAACAGGGAAAATTAAATGTTTAGAACTATTGTTTCTTTGATAACATAATGTAAAATTAAATGTGGATTGTTATTATTGGTTTTAGTGTAATTTTGTGCCAAAAATGAAGGTTGTGGAGGCGAAAATTGTAGTTTTAGGTGCGCAGGGTAAGTTCGTTTTTCGTGTTTATTAATACATAGATTGTATGATATAATCGTTATATCGGCTATAAATCAACTTGTTTCTGCTTGCAACAATGAGCAACCAGGCCGGAGAACTTGTAAAATGTCTATTTCTTGCGTAATAATTATATCTTTAATGTTTTACCAAGTCTAAAGTTAGCTCCTCTACATTCGAAGTAACTTAAATCTTCTTTCTAAATTTAAAACAAATATAAATTTTTTTGTATTAAAGTTATGGAAAATTCATAAAAAGTAGATACACTCAGTCGCACATAAAATTAAGCAAACGGCCATTTATTTAAACAACAAATTTGAACTTTGACGTAATATATTAAAGTGCAGTTTTCAACCCACTTGCGTTGTCAAAATGTCTTTATTTTTAGGTACCTATCCATTCACATCGTACTTCAAGGCAAGGTCTCTAGGCAAAGCGTATTATTATTTGTCTAAAAGCGGGTAGTCGGTACGGTTTGGTGTAACGAGATGGTTTTCGTAGCTCTACTTCATAACGCCTAGTATAGTGCGTGTAGCGGGTGCATGGTCCAACTTTTTTTTACAACGTGACGGGACGAACAAGTCGTGCGCCTGATGGTAAGCGACACGCCTGTCTATAGCGGTTGCAGTGCCACTCAGAGCTTTAAATATCAATGATCTGAAGGGCACTGCCACTGCACCCGTCAAACTCAAACTCAAAATATTTTTATTTCATAGGTAAACAAATTACACTTGATATCGTCAAACTGATTAAAATTACAGCAACAATCACTCATTGTTTTTGTTAAAAGTAAATAAAAACAAAACTAAAATAATTTTACACAAAGACATTGTCATTACGGTTATTGCTATGCAAGTGTTAAATAGGTAAGTCAAGTGTCCGCTGGAGATGAATTCCAAGCATCTTTATCCTGAATATAATCAGTAACACCGTAGTAGCTCTTATTTAACAGCGCATTTTTAATATAGCTTTTAATTTTCTTCTCTGACTTAACTTTTAAGTTTCGTCACCCTGAGATGTAGTTGACTAGTCCCACATTCCTGAAATTTCACTAACACCTATATCCTTTAAAAACGGAATGCAGTAATGCTGACATTATACTGTTTAGCAGCAGAAATAGGTAATGCTGAATAGGTAATCAACTTCATGCAGCCAAGACCTCGACTGCATGAAGTTGGTAATGACTTCACGCATTTACCGCATGCAGTCCATCTCGGCAGTCTGCCAACATGCAGACAATCCATTCAAATTCAAAATAATCTTTATTTCATAGGTAAGCATTATTACACTTGAAATCATCACAATGGTTAAACTCTACCGCTCATTCGTAAGGCAGATTCCCCTGAGAAGAATGAGCAAGAAACTGTAGGGGTTTCTCTTTGTAAATAACATTTACAATATTTTTTTTTTATTTGAAACTTCAGAGATCGAGACTACCTCCATGAGCTTAAACGGGTTACTACCACGGATTTTTGTCATCCAAGTACGCAGAAGTTGTATAATAACCTTTAGTTTAACCATTAGCAGCTTAAGGTGGCAGTTCTTCTCTGGACAAACTATTTCACTAGCAGATGTATTGCTGTTAAGAGCAGCCTTGTGGGCCTACTGAAGACTTCAGTGAATGACCTTAGCATTTCACGGAATTTCATCCTGTAGTAGGGTCATGCCAGTGCATATTCAAGGCTGTTTCCTCCTCCATTAATAATTTCCATAACAAGTTGTCTGTAATACCTAAAGTGAAAAGAACAATGCAATTATATGGACCATGACTGTAGGAAGTAGTTTTGTTAAATACAAACTTTTGGTAGAAACTTCAAACTATTTGGATAATTTTATTGTAATGAAATGATATGAAATGAAATGAAAATTTATTTGCTTAAAATATGGTGAACAAGAGATGGACCACAGTAGAGAGATAGAACTCATATTTTACCACATCTGGCATGCAAAATTATACATATACTGATTGAATTAATTGATTAGATTACAAATAATGTCAGTAGACGTGCACAAAACATCCTTGAAGTTCTAATTTTGTTTCAATACATATCAATTAAATTAATAACAAAAATTATGAAAGTCAAACAATTACATAATATTGTAATATCAGTAGTAATTTATATGTCAATGTTTATTCAAGAAATCGGTCACTTTGTAATAATTTTTGTCTTTAAGCCTTGCATTCAATCTGTTATTAAACAAATTATTTGGTACAGCATTATCTATTTGGACACACATACAATTGCATTGATTTTTATAGTAGGACAGTCTAGGTACGTTATTAGAAACCAGTCTATTTGGATCCCTTATACGTCTACTATGGATATATCTTCTTTTTTTAAAGATATCTAGGTTTTGTTTAACATACCAGGTGACTTCAAGAATATACATACACGGCAAGGGGAATATTCCCAAGTCTTTAAACAAGGTTGCACATGATTGAGTTGGTGAAATACTGGTCATTGCTCGGACACATTTTTTTTGAGCTATGAACAATTCAGTAACAAATTAGTAAGGCACAGAAAGCAATTGACAACTTTATTTTTAAACAGTGAAAAGTTCAATATTAAATAAGCTCAGTACAGTACTAGAGGTGGAATATTTCCTTCAATAACTGCCTCTGTGGCTTGATGGATACCTATGCTGGGAGAAATATTTGTATGTAATTTGTGGTTGTTTGTCTATGTGTGTGTGTGTGTGTCCATGGCACCCACAACACAAGGTTTCCCTAGTGCAGGGCCATGAGTGTTTGTTATTGATTATTATTAATCAAATGTATTACTCTGTAAAGTTTAGACACTCTGCCTTATTCGATTTCTGACATTACGTAAGTTATGTAAAATTTAGTAAATAACTATAATTCATTGCCTATCAGAAGATAAAACTATAAATTAAAAAAAAAACTGGTTCCTCAATATGTTACGTAGTATAAAGACGACGACCTCCGTGATCGCGTGGCTTGCACACCAGTTTTCTTGGAATAGAATAGAAATGTTTATTTGCCAGAATACAGTAATTATACAGTTCTAAAATAAAAATAGGTTCAATGTATTCAACCTGCAAGCAGGTGTGCAAATATTAATTGAATTAAATATTTTGACCTCTAAATTTAATTGCACTTCAAATCAATATAAATTAGTATTTGTAAATTCTAAATATTCCTTATTACTATAGAAGCAATGTGTCATAAGCCATTTTGTCAATTGTGATTTAAACCTAGGTCCGTGTAGTAATTTAAATGCATTTGGTAAACTATTGAAGATCTTTATGCACATATTGAAGCAGTTATTCTTATAAATTAATTTATGGCATCGAGGTTGGAATAAAAGATTCATGATTTTAGCTCTGGTTTGTTTTTGTATCACTTCACCACGTGTTTTAAAATATTGTTCACGAATACGCAAATGTCCCTTATATACATGCATGGCAAAGGCAGTATGTTTAGTTTTGTGAACAACGGTTTGCAGCTACCATCGAACCGCGCACCACAGATGGCTCGAATACACTTCTTCTGAACCTTGAACACTCTTTCTAAATCTACTGAGATGCCCCATAGTATAAGACCGTAGCTGAGTACGGACGAAACGTAGCCGTGATGGGCCGTCAGCGCCGCCGCCGCTTCTTGAGACAATTTGCCTTAGTCTTCGCAGAGCGTAAACAAATCTATTTATCCTTCCAGTTGAAATGTTTATCGATTGTCAATCCAAGAAAGTTAAATGTGTTAACTTCATCTATAGTGTCGGTGTCGTAGTGAATTTTAATTGGTATAGGATTTGAATTATACGATCTAAATGTCATAAATTTAGTTTTGATTATATTAATACGTAGGTCATTAATGTCCATCCAACTTATTACATTTGTCAGTGCTTTATTTATTTCGGTGTTAAACGTCGTTGTGTTTTCGCATTTTATTATAAGAGTTGTTGTCAGCAAATTGTATACATTTATGGTCAATAGCGTGTGGAAGGTCGTTAATATAAAGGAGGGATAGTAAAGGACCAAGGACGCTACCTTGGGGAATTCCAGTATTAGTTGTTTTTAAGTGTGATCTGAAGGCTTGTTTGTCAAGTATATTATTGTGTTTGTTTTTTGTAAATCCACTTATTTCTGTAAATTGTGTTCGATTTGTTAAGTAACTTTCTACCCAATCAATTCCTTCCTCCAATGCATATATTTCTAGCTTGTGTTGGAGCTTGGAATGATTAACAAAGTCGAAGGCTTTACTCATATCTAAGAAGACTGACATTACAGGAGTAGAGGCGTTCATGCTTTCTGTTATGATGCGCGAACATTCAAAACATGCAAGAGTTGTAGAGCTGCCTTTTCGAAATCCAAATTAATAGTGGAATATAATTTTATGTTTTTCTAAAAATGTGTTTAGTCTAGCATGTAGAGCCTTTTCAAATATCTTGGATAGAGTTGGGATTAACGGATTAATGGATAGTGAGGTGATCATTCACGAATATTTTCGTATTGACATTTGGGAAACCCATTGCCCTAGCGGCTAAGTCCTTTTTGTTACGGGCTGCCGAACAAATTCTTCCTTTACATATCTGTTGATAAAACTCACCACAATCGACTTTTCTGCGGAATTACGAAGGGGTACCCTAGCTATATAGTTAATTTGACTTTTGGGAAAACTATACCCACCACCTAAACTTATCTTATCAACAACAGAGTAAAGGTCTTCATCTTTTTTAATGGGCACACCTTTGATCTCAATGTTGTTAAGTCTGACTCGGCGTTCAGCAGACACATCAGTTTCTATGGCAAAGAGCTTGTTTCTCAAGGTAACAAGCTCCTCTTGGTTTTTCTCAAGAGCTTTGATCTTTGCTTCTGCCGATTCTAACGTCTGGGAGATCGTCACTGATAAACTGGCTCGAGGTCTTTAACTTGGACACTTCTTCCTTAATAGTCCGAATGTCTTGAACCAGCAGGAAGACACAAAAGCTGCTGCTTCATGTCACGCAGCTCGTGCATTATAGTTTCA